TATAATAGTGCTTACAGAAACTTGGCGTAATGTTCTATCGTGTTATGTATTTTATTAATTATATATTAGATCAGTGGTTCTCAACCTTTTTTTATTCACGGCACACCATTGTACATCACAAGTTTTCGCGTCACACTCATGCACTTGACAACAACAATTACTTTGGCTACGCACTAAGATATCTAGTTGGGTTAGAACCGTCCAGTTTACCTATATATGTATCGTCTTATCTATAAAATTAATTGACATTTAGCTGTCATAGTTTCATCGATCGATATTTTCAAATATCAGACATTTTTCACGATTCACCAGTTCAGAACCATTGTATTAAATGGTTATGATTTATATTTTTCCTCCACAAAAGGAAATAAAATGATGGTTTTTGCCAACCATTACTTAAGTGTAGAATTGTTTGTGTATGATTTCGGAGATTATAATATTGTAAAACTAGTTATTTATAATATCAAAATTCGAATTAATTTAATGCGTTTATAGATCTCCCAGTACTGATAGTTATAATTTTATAAACTCATTAAGAGATGTAATGAATAGTTTACAAATCAACAATAAAATAACAGTAATTACTGGTGACATTACGATGTGATGAATGAATGTTAATATAATTGATGGGCATGAAAATAATGATAAATATCTTAATATATTATCTGAAACTGTATTTATCTCTTTTGTGAACATTTATACTAGATTACAAAAAGATATTAATCATTCTAGTTTAGACCATATTTTTATTCATAGTAATGAAAACATAGCGAATAAAATTAATACTTAATTAATATTAATACTCACTTATATAATATAAATAAATTTAAATACACGGTGTATCAAAAGTTTTCATCCAATTTCAAAAATTTATATTTATATTAAAAATGAAGATATAAGGGTGAAATAAAGTAAAATATATTCTTAAAATAGTCAAGTTTTAATTACTTTAGTTACAAATTTTTAATATGTTTAATATAACCCCAACCGGCCACCTGACACACATCTATACGGTAATCAAATTCATCTCAAATGTTGCTGATCATATCTGTTGTCACGGCATTAGCAGTATCTTTGATTCTGATTTTTAACTCTTCAGAGTTTGTAGGTAATGGCAGTACATACACTTTATCTTTTATGTAGCCACATAAAAAAAAAAAAATCATAAACTGCGAGGTTAGGGGAACGTGGTAGCCAGGGATGAATCGCCAAATAGTCGTTTCCTTTACGCCCAATCCATTGCTGAAAGAGTTCACCATAAAAATACTAGCGAACTTCTAACTTCCATTGCGGCGGTACTCCATCTTGTTGAAAAACAAACTCATCACTATCTGTTTGTAACTGTGGAAATAACCATGTTTGCAACATCTTTAGATATCTGTTATTCGTTACTTTGTTTTTTTCAAAAAAAAAAAAAAAAATGGACAGTAAACTTTTTTCCTGGAAATTACGCAGAAAACATTGATTTTTGGTAAATCTCTTTAATGTTCAACAGTTGCGTGTGGTTGCTCTAAAGCCCAAATTCTGACATTATGGTGGTTGATTTTTCCACTTAGATAATATGTGGTTTCATCCGAAAAAACAATGCGTAAGACAAATAACTCTTGTTTTTCGGATATGAATTTGCAAAAATCAATCCTTTTTTGTTTGTCATCCAGTAGGAGGGATTGTAACAGTTGTATTCAATATACCTTCAATGTCAAACGACGTCGTAGAATACGCCAAATGATCGAATGTGGGAGATCTAGCTCTAGGCCTGCACGACGTTTAGACTTCTGTGGATTTCGAACGAAAGTCTCGAACACGCTCGATGTTTGCGTCAGAGGTACAAAGTGGACCTGAGCGTTTCTGTGCACACAGACAACCACTTTCTTGGAACGTTTGGTGCCAAGGTCGAATGCTTTGAGCAATAGGAGCTTCAGTTCTATAAGTTCTTTGAAAATCACGTTGAACGATTATTGCCGACTCACACTTATTGAAACGTAGGACGCAAAATGCTTTCTGTTGCGGAGTCGCTATAATGAAACAAACTAACGGTTCCTAGTTCACTAACCATTACGGTACCAAATTTATCAACTACATAACTTAAAATAAACATAGTTATCTAATCTTTCCGTTACTACATTGGTCATTAACCTGCGATTAACCGTTGCCGAACTATGTCAGATCGTAATGAAGATTTTTGAAACATCGTGTACTTTATATTTTAAATTTTTAATGATGACTAATCGGACCTAAATATTGCAGTAATTTAAAAGTATTAAATTATTTATTATAATTGATAACAATTTTTTATTCCTTAAGTAATTATTAATCTTGATATCTTTCAAACAGAAAATTTGATATATTTATCCTGTTTCTCATTGCATCACAATACAAATGACTAATTTTAAGTAAAGATTTTAATGTATTTTTAAAAGAAACTAAAACTTGTAACTCTCTAATTAAACTCTAAAACAATTTAAAATTTCACCCTAAGATTTTTGTTTAATAAATTACATGACGATAACAATTTATTTTTTATTTTAAATTGATAATATGGGAAAATTGTTCACATATTTACATACATCTCAACCATTTAAAATATAATATTTTATTTTTTTATTTGCCATTTAATTATTTAAAACTAGGTCATAAATAAAATAAGTAAAATAATAATATAATTTGTTATTGCACTCTACTTTAAGGGATTAAAAAAAATAACATGACATCTATAACCATTCATTGTACATTTTTACTGTTTTAAATAATTTTCCTACATTACATCTCGACAATAAATCGAAAACATTTAATCAAGAAATCCTTAAATAAAATTATTCTAAACATTACTTTTCTGGTACAGACAAATTTTATAAAAATTTTCTTTTATATTAATTATTCTTAATAAGAATTATCTTAATAATTCTTACAAACATAATTATATTATTTATTAAAATTATTGTGTCACTTGTAAATTATGAACAATATCATTAAGATAATATAATAGACTCAGTCTAATAATGACGATTGATGATAAATATTTAGAAAAAAAGTTTTTGATAGTTTTAAATGTATTTTATATAGATATTACATGAAAATAATCAATTTGTGGTCTCGGCGTGTCGGTTATGCAATTTCACTACATACTTGCATAGGACATCAATTTATTGTCGCACTTTATGAAACAGGGATAAATTAGGAAATTGATCGGTGGGCAGTTAATATTTATTTATTTATTTATTTAGTTCCTTTTTTGACATATTTCATTGTAACTAGTCAAACAATTTTAATAACATTATGATCTATTCATATTGTTTAAAATATTAAACTAATTACTAAAACAATGGTTTTCATATTAAATTATACAAAATTATAATAAGGTTTAAACTTGACCTATGTCAGAAGATACCATAGTCAGATGAAATACAGGCATGAAAAATAGTATCAATAAATACGTATTTTAAACATGAAACCAATATACCATAGTTTTCAAAACACGATTCGAGGTGAATGAAATTAAGTAATCAGTTTATATTAAAGAAAATAATGTTAAAAAAATGAAGAATAACTCGCTAACATATAAATCATTTTTTAAAACAAAAATACCAAATTAAATTGACAAATATTAAGTGAAAGCGTTTACATCATTGTACACCGAGAAAAAAATCCTTCAGGCACAAAAAATCCATTAAAGAGACAATAATAATAAAAAAAAAAAAAAAAACCAATGAACTGTTTGGAAAATTTCCAAAATTTCCAGGGAAACATGTATATAGAAAAAAAAATAATAATATTTGGTAAAAACAAGAATAAATAGGAATAAAGTGCTGGCCAAGGTAATGCGTATAATTGTTAGTTCATATTACCCAAGGCACATTTCTGTGCATTGTCCATGTTCAGGTCTGACATCGAGATATTCTACTATCAGAAGTAATTCCTGATACTCTACTCCATTCCAGTTGTATAATTAATATTCCAAGAATAATAAATAATAATACTAATAATAATAATAATAATAATAGCAATAACATTTGGCATTTGTTCATAATATTAAACTTCGTAAATATTACTGAAAACATCAATTTGTCCTTAAGACTATTACGATTTAATGAACCGTTTACATAATATAACGCATCAAATATATATCATGAATAACAAAAAATAATTACGATAAATGCCCTAATATCTTTATTATATTCGAATACATACTCCGAATGCATTGATTGAACAACATGTTTTTGTTAGACTTTTTTAACCCGAAAAACATGTTGATCAAAAATGCTGCTACTCGTATTATATCCACTGATATTTTTTTTCGTTTTAGTAGACAATTTTTTATTACATTTATTATAAGTATAATTATTTTTTATGTAATAAGACTAAATATTTTGTACCTGTACGACTATACATTTTAACACATATTTGTCTAAGAGATAAAAACAATTGAGAATTTGTCATATAATTACTAATATTACAAGGAAAAATGTTTCCACTCTAGGAATATTTGAACTCGTAATTTCTACATTTATACAATGGAAACAACTGTGTAGACTTATAGGAGAAATACACAATACAAGAACATAAAAAAATGTAAAGGAATCAAGATGATCTCTAATGCCGGGTGGCCAAGCGATTTCGTGTCTTGCATTCCAAATGGTATGTAACGAACATTCCGATAAAAACAATTATAATCATGAAAAAACTGATCTTTACTCAAAATAGGATATGAATATTCCGAGTCCGTTTTTTCTGAGTACAAATATTTGATATTATGCATTTTTAATTAAGTAGTCGTACATTTATTTACGCAATCGTAAGACATTTTTGTAAATAAATCTTATTAGTTCAATATACGACTGCTACAAGAACATTTCACGCATAACATTTTTAAAATAGTTCTTACGTGGATGCAAGATTTTTTTTTTTAACCTGATGATTCTTCCTGTTTGTTCATATTGATGTCTTACCATCCCATCGAAACCGAAATATTATTCGTAATATTATTAAGTTTTGTTACTTACGTGTGACTGTGTCAAGTTATGTTTGTTGATAGAATTGTGAATTTTCGACGGGGAGCTAAATGCGTTTCCCGAAATGACTGATGGCGCTGTAGCATAGTTAAATTGCGTGTCTTGGAGACGATCTGACATAGGATCCATTCCGTCGTTAGCCTATACAATACATATATATTAATTAGTCATTGTTTATGTATTTATAGTAACTTAAAAACGTTTATCAATATTTCAATGCCAAATAAAACTGCAACAAAGTCGCCAAACGGTGATACAATCAATTATTGGGAATTATTTATGAGCATAGCTGCTGTAGGTAGATTTGTATAAGCTATTGTGAAAAAACCAAAAAATATAAAAAAATAAATAATTATATAAACATTAATATTACATTACACGAAGTCAAGCCGAGGAGGTGATATCGGTGATTCAAAATATCAATCCAGAACCAATTGACTTAGTTTCTTCTCAATTTAAAGTAAATGTATCAATATCACATAATAATACGCTTTCAAAATTATGAATATTTGAAAACAATTTAAAAAAGAATGTCATAATCAGATGAATTACAACGACGGATGATCTATTTATATATATATAAACTAATGTATTATAATTTTTAAAACGTCGATTCTGATTGAAAGGGTTGCCGGGTGATTTTTTTTCAGATTTATCGATAGTTCAAATTTTATTATTTTAATGCTCGTTTAGTTATAAATAGTCTCAGAAAATATGAAATTATTAACTACAATAGAACCTGTTTAAGAAGCTCTAGCTTAAGAGAATTTACCGGCTAATACGCTTATTTTTACGAGTCCCTTGATTTTGACAACATCATTTTGTTCCCGCGTAATACGATTTCCCGCTTAAGACGTTATTTTTAACTTGTCCTTTGGAGAGCGTCTTAAACGGGTTCTACTGTAATTATACAAAACTCAGAATAATATTTGAAAAATTATATCATCTTTGGGTAACATTTGTACATGCATTCATTAAAATAATAAATTTCTCGAATATTTATTTTTGCTGCTTTAAAAAAAAAAAAAAAAAAAAAAATAGAAACATTACAGAATACCAAGATCAAAGTATAGAATCACTATTTTTTATTAACAGAGATATGAATTGATTGAGGAGGTACACGATTAATTAAAAAAACTAATATTTACAACTAATCTCCGTTTTTTCAACGTTTCGAAAGATTCTGCATAAAATAAGCTATTATTTTTGTTTATTTCTAATTTTATATAATTAACTTATTTTACATAATTTCACGTAGGTAATGAAGAAACGCATATTTCAAACAGTTATTTTAAACTCATCGAAACATATTTTTCAGTAAATCATTCATTAGTAGCTCATAATTTTACAAGAATAACATAAAATAAAATATTATTTGTGATTCACCTTCAAGGTATTATCAAATTATTTGCTAAAAATTCAGTGTGATTAATTATTTATCAATTATAATTATTTTTATTAATTTTGTTATTGTATTAACACTCATTATTTTAGGTGGTTTACTTATCCTATTTCTAATGAATATCGTTAATTTTATTTTTATGTTAATATTATTTTAATTTATTATTTTTAATATATTTAAATATGTTATTAACATATTTGGAATTATACTTATAAATATAATCAAATTTATTCTACAAAATATTATTCTTATAATTCATTTTTATTAATCAATAAACGTTAGCATTTAAAAATTAAAAGTTAAACATTGGTTTTAAGAATGTATGTTTGGGTACCTAACTTCTTTTTATTATAAGAACATTGCATTATTAATTTGAATAATTTTATTGAATTGTGTGAGATGAACTATTTTGTTTAATAATAAAATATAACATTTTATGTTTACAATAACTATAAAAATATGTCTGTTAAGAATTTGAAAATTTTAATTAAATTGAAAGCCGAGTGATTTTGTGAGTTTCGGACATAAAGTAAATGTCGGTATTCGAGGTCCGAACCGAAGGCATCTTTTAAGTTATTATATATCATGCTAAATTTAGGGAAACTAAGTTATGTCATGTGTTATTTGTTTGAAGAAAAGAGTATGATCGAAGTTACTAAACAAATAATCTAAATAAATGTCTTAACTTTACTCATGCACTTATTTGACTTGAAACTCTATAGGATTTCAAGAAGTTCTGCTGAAATCCTATTTGTCTCGCTCACGCGTATACACAAAACATTAAATATTTTTTCTCAACTCGTTTATCCAGTCAAAGACTTTGCTAAACATTCGTCAAATAATACCCATTCGAACTACGACCATTTTAGATTCCAAATAAAGCATAGTAATACATTGACATGGCGCTATTACAAAAGCGTAATTTTTTTCTTAGTTAGTTGTTTACGTTATCAGTATTTTTTTATTTTTTTTTATACCAAAGAAATACGTAAAAAGTTCAACATTGGAGGACTAACTGTCTATAGCCCGATAAAAACTGATAATTCGATGGGATATTTTTCATGTTTTTCATTAGACTTAACGGCATTTATATATTCACACTGAAAAACTATATACATTGATTTTAATTAAATAGAATTCAATTACTGTTGCGCAACGGCAAGTTAATATAAAATATAAATGATAGAAAATTAATTGTTCATGTAAAAGTTTATAATTTGTAGGTAACTATATTTGTTTTAAACTTGACTATAAAACTTTAGACCCATTCATAATATATCATATTCATTTAAATTAACAATAATACAAAATCAAAACATAATATGCCTATTTTAAAAATATTATCATCTATATCCGTTTGACCGTATTTCCATTCAATTATCAATTAAAATTCAATAATTTGTTTCTCTCCATGCTTTCAAAAGCTTGTTCAGTTCAATAAAGCCGATAGTGTTACGGTTCTATGTATAATATACGAGTATGTTATGTTTATTATCGATATCGCAAAAAAATAATTTGACTCGCCAACTGTTACAGTTAACATTAGTGAAGACGTCTCAACCTTAATCGTATATCTTTTACAACCTTGGCAGTGCACTCATTATACTACAAATAATCTATTCGTAGACGTTTCACAGGATACATTATAATAGTCATTATTTGCCACGAGATTTCCTGTCAAGTAATTCCTACTTGGAATTATAATGATGCACACGTATCATGCTATTCCGACGGATTATGTTTAATCAATCCAAGAATAAATTCGCAGTAAAACTTGATATCATTAATCGACGTTCAAACAAGCAGTCGTTGTAGTTAGATCTCAAAGTCGAAAATGCGTATATAACACATACGCAACGTACTATTTTCCTCGGAAACATAGCAAACAGCAACAATTATAATTTATAATCGTTACGGTTTCGATTGCGCAAAACGCTATAGCTGATGAACCGCGGAAACGCAGATGTTCGATTCACACCGGCAATATATTATGAGAATATTATGCAACCGACGGTGGTTCCTTAGTGCCACTGATCTTGACCGGATTTTATCGGGCTCTCCACGTCAACACACACGGTCATCCTTCCCCTGTCGTCAGCTGTCTCGTTTATTTTATGTTCCGCACATTATTCCGGTATCGGTCGGATTGCGTCGCAGTCGTTGTCGCGACCGCGCCTTAAAGGATTAGTCACGTGAAAAGAATTCCGATACGAGGACTGGTCAACAAAGACGAGGCGAGTGAATGCCTCGCCACAATGTCCCTTCTTGCACGTGTATTTCGAACACCATGACTTCTCCCTCCCTTCACTGTGTATGTAGGAGCAGTTGTTTTTTTTTACGGACACTGATGCAGGATTACCAAGTTTTTCCAACTAAGACATATATTATGTATTTGGGCTGGTCACAACTTTATTTTTCCAGACCAATTTTTGATTTTCGATTTCATGTAAGGCAATTATGAAGATGGTAATGGTGATGGATTTTGATCCTTTTCGTTTTAATTTTCTGATATTGAATCGTAAAAAATAACAATAAAAACATATTTAATCATATATATATATATGTAAATATCACTTGTTAACCTTATTTAATGTTATGTTCGTGCTACAAAGAAAATATCAAGTAGTCCACAATTTCTAGATAATCTAATTAGATTTGATTTAAAAAAGAATATTTAATAACAATTTGGATGTTTCTACAAAAGTATGATATCAATCAGATTATCCCTCTGAATTAATATTATAGTAAAACGATTATGTTATCATTCACCATAACATGTACACTTGTATATTACGTTCTCCTTCATTTTACCTGTTTACCTTTTCCAATTTCTCGGTAACGCGAAAACTTAAGTTTGATCCATGATACGATGATAACCTAATGGATTGAAAAAAATTATGTAGCATATCAGCCCAATCGTGATCCAACGGGTCTCCCGTATAGCGACTATAATTCCTCGTGAACATCCGATATAAATACAAATGGTGTCCTTTGAATTCTTCTCTGCCGGTGGTCAATCGAACGGACATGAAATTACCTTCAATTCGTTATTATGACAGACAAGCCATTAATCGATTCCTACAGCACATGTCTGTTTACACATATATATACGTCCGATATATGTTGAGTACGTGTCAATGGTATGCGTAGGTGTTTTACATATAAACTCTCGACATACATATAGAAACGCACGAAATGCTATTCATCTGTATTATTTATACGGATCATGCCTTTGAAATATTGCTATGAATGTCAAGTTTATAATAATGTATAGGTTTTCTTCCCCGATTCAGTATATTACGGTACGGAGAAAAAAATACCTACGAAAAAAAAAATAAACTTTAAATATCGTACAACCCTAATATTGTGTTAAAAAAAAAAGTACATAGTGTTTCCGATTCAAGGTCGTATAATTGTTACTAAATTATAATATTATCACTTCTATTATTATTCGAATCTCGGATTGTAAAATGTTATATTATATATGTATATGATATTATATTCTTTTCGTAATAAATATTTTTCTGTTGTCAGATACTACCAAAAACAAATCTAATCTTATCTGAAACGCCTGATTCGGACGTCATTTTTATCTTCAAACAATAGCATTTATATTTAACACGCCATTGGCCACTGTTACGGACATACATAAATATAGATCCTTACGACTCACACTACATAGGGGGATCACATAAATCATAAATAGTAGAAATCGGGTGAACGATATAGAAAGGAATAA